AGCCATACCTATTCACTCAATGAGTCTCAGTCAATTCCCTAGAAAATTATTCATCAAATAAATAAAATAGTTAAAATCTTCTGGTGGAATACTTCAAAACCTTGAAAACATCGTTATCGTTGGTGCTCTTAGAATACTCTTTCATTGCCAAAAGCTTTTGGTGGTTTGATCTCCAAAAATCTCACTCTGGTAAATCATGCCTCCTCAGGAAAATTGCTTGGAAATTCTTGAATGAACAACATAAACTCTAGGCACAATTTTGGAAATGCAAATATCTCAAACCAATGAATATATTTCCTTACACCACTTCATCTACTGCCTTTGTTTGTTGGAAATCCATCTGTCCAAAACTTCGACAATTAGCATCTGAAATAGGATATCTGGTCAATGAAAATTCTGATTTCCTAATATCTAATTTTTCTTAGATCCAAAAAATAAATAAATACAAACTTTCCACTGGATTCCCTTTCCCATTTCTCCTCACCTGAGAAATCTTAATATTTCTTCCCTCATTTCTAAAGGTCAATGGAATCCTCTGATAATTCATCAACATTTCACAAGGGAAGAGGCTAAGGAAATTTTACAAACTCCCATTTTTCCTCTCAATAATAATCTTCACTAGATTTGGGCACAACATCATTCTAGAAAGTATACAGTTAAGGAGGAATATAAAATTAAACAGAAAATTTCTATTCCTCAACTTTCAAACGATTATAAATTCTACTTATCTAAAATTTGAAAGTTGTCGATTCCTCCAAGATATCAACTTTTTTCTTTGGAGAGTTCTCAATAACTTTATTCCTGTGAAAGCTTCTCTCTCTTTTTAGATCCTAATGACAAGGTACGCATTTTTTGTGGTCATTCTGAAGAAACTACTACTCATCTTTTTCTTAATTGCTCTTTTACTCGAGTAGTCTTATTTGGTAATCCTTGGAATCTTGACTTAAGCATCACTCCTCAACATTCTTGGACTACATACTTTATAACTCTTTACAATCAAATTGCTGACAATCTGCTATTCCTCCAAGTTTTAAATTGGTTTGAAATTACCTGTTACTATGTTTGGTATGCAAGGAATGGAAAGACTTTTGAAAATAAACAAATTCTTCCCTTGCAAATCCTCTCTATAGTCAACAGAATTCTTCACTAGAAAATCCGTTGCACTCTCCCTCTCGTAGTAATATTTTAAATCTACCTATCAATTGTACTACTGAACTAATCATTTTCACTAATGCAAGCACGATTTCTGATTCTTTCTTTACTTTCGGCATTGTGATGTTAAATACAAATCTTCAAAGTTTAAAAATTATTGGAGGACAAACATCTCACCTTTTGCTATTGATCAAGTAGAACTCTTTGCTATCTTGTACATCTTTCTGGAATTACAAGATTGGAGGCAAAAATAAATTTGCATTTACTATGATAATCTACAAGTTATACAGGCTCTCCACAAGGACTCTCCTCTACCTTGGTTCTGCCACTGGCTTTTGCAAAGAACCAAGAATTTAATTTCCCGTTTAAATCTCCATGTTACCTTCCAACATGTAAACAAAACTTTTAATGTTACTGCTCACAAGGTTGCCTTATTTTGAATGTAATGACTATCTGATGGGATCCCGAGAGTTGAACAATTTGTACATATTTCTTTGCTTTAATATATTTTTGTTTATCTTCCAAAAAAATTATGAGAATGCAAAAGAAAATTTTCCTTTTGCCATGTGCCTAAGGAGTAAGGATTTATGTGAATAAAATTCTTGTCACATGAATTTGCAAATATGCATAAAATCCCTTAGGTTGTGTGTGGTTGTAGTGCACATTCATTTGCACTGATGCAAAAGTATAGTAGTGCAAATGGTTTGACTGCAAGTTTTGATTTACTTTCGTTTCAAATTTTACCTTACTTTGTTTGATTGCATTAAAAATGAAGTTAAATAAGACCTAGATCAAATAAAATTAAAACAAAAATTGCATTTTTTTTCATTTGCAATTCTATACATTTGTACTAGTGCAAATAAAATTGCACTGCAACCAAACATAGCATTATGTATGTTTTTGTTTATGGTAACGTGGCCGAGTTTGGGCAGGCTCCCCACAAAGCACGCCTCACACCTCATTACCCTCATGCATTGGTAGAGGTGTAAATCGGGTCGGGCCACCTACAGCCCGGCCCAACACGACACGACAGCCCACAGGCCGTGCCAGGCCTGACATGATGGTCTGTGTCGTGCTGCGCCTGGGGTTTGAAGTCCACGGGTCAGCACGGCACGACACGATCAAGTGGGTCGTGCCACCCGCGGCCTAGCACGACACGACCCAGCACGACCCATATATACTATTTATATATCTTTTATATATATATATATATATATATATATTTATATATATATATATAATATATAATATATTATATATTATATAAATTATAATTATATGATAATATATAGTATATAATATATTAATAAAATATTATTATACTAATTTATTTAATTATTGTATATATAAGCAATTGTATATATCAAAATTCATATAAAATTAAAATTTTAAGTTTTTTGTCAATTTTTTTAAATAAATAGGCAAAAATAGCTTTGGCCCAATCCATGTCCCAACTTGGACCAAGGTTTGGCCTACGGGCCAGCCCGGTCCGCGACACAACACGGACTCACACGGGCCTGGGCCGGCCCCTAAATTTTTCACCAGGGAGGGCAGCACGGCCCATGATGGTCCATGGACCAGCACAACACGGCCCACTTTACACCTATATGCATTGGAAATATGACAGGAGATTTCCCATTTCACAGGAGAAATGGGCTGTGGGACGTGTTCTTTGAGGAACCCATCCCAATTAGGCCCTTTAGGTGCCATACTTAGAGTTCAGATCAGCTCTTCGCACGAACCTGACAGTGCGTTTCAGCTGTACATCGGGAACATATTGTTATTTATAAGGAGATATTCTTAATACACGGTGGGATGGGGCAATAAGGTCGGTGTGATGAGGTGTGTTCACTATTCAGTGAGGAACAAATCCCGATTCCCATACTTAGACCTGATTGATTAGTGGGCCAGGGGGCATGGTTGTAGGCTTTGGATGCAAATGGCTGATCCCACTGACACATACAACATAAACATGCTTCCACGAGCTCAGATCTTCTGAAGGCAAAAATTTGTAAACACCTATGAGTGTTGAGATCACAACATCCAATCGCACATTAGGAATATTTTTATACATATATGTTGAGATATTCCCTATGTGATTGATTGTCAAACTCTCAAAATATTTACATAATTTTTGCTTTAAGAAAATCCCGTTTCTTGTTTCAATGGGCTGGAATCCATCAAGGTGGACCGGTGGAGTGCTTTGGGCTTGGGAACCCCGTGGTAGGTCCCCCACCCCCCTAAAAGGAGAAACAAATCAGCTTCTAATTAAAACGAGAGCGAGTGGTTGGGGCTACTAAACAATGCATCGATGTCACTCTAAGTTTCCTCCTGCTTTGGTACTAAAAAAGAAAAAAAAAATGTCACGTAAGTCAATCAAATGATGAAGAAGGTATCAGATTTTATATATATAAGAGCTAAGCTGTTGCATGTATTCTTCAATGCTTTCCAACTCATGAAGCTTTCCATCCCTTATCGGATTCACTTACGATTTTGAGACATGAAGACATATCAACTTTTGTAGCTTTGTGACTACGAAAATGAATACTAAGGCTGACAGAATTTGTGTGCCATTGGCTTTGAATCGAATAAGAACCCACCCAAGGGAGATGTTTTGGGCCCACAAAGGAAATTATTGAAAGGCTACACTACATTGAATTACCATGGGTTATCCTTGTCTTTTGCAACAAATCCAGAATATATCCCTAACTAAGTACTGAATCAAAAAAAAGAAAAAAAGAACATTAAATTAATAACCAATTAGTTGAAAATTTTCATGCCAATTAAATGTGGTTCAATTCAATCCCATGATGGCACTGGTATTTTGAAGGGCTTAGGTGTAGAGTAGAATGTGAAAGCACAAATATTTTCCTTATTTTGCCCGGCCCACAGTCACTACTCCTGTCCTGTTACCTTGGAATCCAGATTATATTAACAGTAGTTAAGCATGAAGGTTGCCAAACTCCTTTTAGAAGCATCCCCTTTTACATTGCATTAATGCCTTATTCACTTTTTGGTAAGTTATTTATTTGGAAAAATGCAATTATATGGGTAAGTTTTTTCTGGGAAATACTTATTTGGGTAAGTGCATTTATTCATGTTCTTTTATCTCTTAGGTAAAGAAGGCAATGATACCTAGGAAAATAAAATTTTCCCTAATTCCCACATAAATCTGAAAAAAGAACATGGGATTCTTAGTCAATAGAAACCAAAATCCCATTAACCAACTTTTCCCACTCTCAAAATCCCAAAAAAGAATGCTCCCTAAGAGTGGAATCGACATTGAAGCTAGGGGTCGATTCGATCAAAGTCTATTTCCCTATGTCAATTGTCAATAATTTTGTTGGAAACTCTCAATTCCTTTTGAAAGGAGGGCAAAAATAGTAAATTTAATTAACTATAATAACGATAATAAGGATTGAATACTAGACCACATGATAAAATAAGTTGTAACACCATATCAAGAACCTAAAAACTTAACACGTTAGGTGAAGTGCCTGAATAAGTATTTATTCTCTCACATGCATTCCAAATCCTCAAGCTCTATGATGCAGGATATAAACACTATACAAGGTGATTTGAGAGTCGATCGGTGGAAACGGAAGAGGGTCAATTCATGCCCAAGAGTGTAATTCCAATTCCGCATCAGGGTGTGCTTAAGAAAATAAAATAAAGCAGTGCCCTACCAATATCTTTCTGTTGATTTACCAATGACTGAATGACATGAAGAATTTCAAAATACAGCTTGCATTTTAATATCTCCAACCCTAATATCTACTTTTCTAGCATGTATATATTCTCCCTCTTACTTGTTCTACCCTGAACAACCTAGATCGATTGTGCATGAATTAATACCAAGGGCGCAAAATCCTTCACCGAGTCCAGAACATTTCTTCCCAACAACAGATCTGCTTCCATGGAAACCCAAATCATACCTGAGGAAAAGATAACCCATTTCAGTCATCCACAGCACCCCCTCGTGCAGATTAACCTTCCCTATCTCTTCACTTGCATGGGTTGCAAAGAGTATGGAGCAGGGAAGAGACTCACATGCCAACACTGCGACTTCTTTCTGCATGATTTATGTGCCTTTGCTCCACCATCCTTAAGCAACCACTCCCTCCACAGCCAACATCACCTTGTTTTCTACATTAAACCAGGTGAGTGATCGATGACTTCTGTTGCATCTGCATCGATCGATCAGCTGCTTACTTAACTATTCTTTATTCGAGATTGTTAATTTGATTTCTTGATTAATATATCACCTGCCGACTGCCTCACTCACTCCTGAATCCTGACACTGAAGGCGGCATTTTACGGTCGACATGTGACATCTGCGGCAAGTCAACCAGAGGGTATGCTTTCCGGTGTAGCACCTGCAACTTCGAGATGCACCCCTGCTGCGCCAAGCTTTGCCGGGAAATGGATTTTCCGGTGCATCCACATACACTCAAACTTGTAACAACCGCAACATTAACAAGCGGGGACCCAGATTTCACCTGCAACGAGTGCAACACAAAGCGAGGTGGCCGGATTTATGGTTGCACAGTTTGTGATTACCACCTACATGCTGTTTGTGCAAAGAACATGATCAATGGGCTCCATGCCAGTGGCATAATCAAGGTGCCGGAAAAGCCAAGCAGGCTTGGGGCAGCAGTTCGCCTCGTATCCAATGTAGTTGTGGGGTTCATTGGGGGCCTGCTTGAAGGGATTGGAGAAGGGGTTGGACAAGCTATCTTTGATTCCATTGTCAAAACTACTGCCAAACGTGGAACAAGATTAAAGCAGACAAGAGAAGAGCCATAAGTGGGTTTGGTTTGTTTATGCACATTAATTAGCAAAATTAAATGGGTGTCTACTGTCTAGACTCTACTTTAGATAATCAAAGCTGCATGTATTAATTTAATTATAGACTTGGTCTGATGGAAATTACTTTTATCTAGAGTAAAGGGTGCTTTCTAATTTGTTTCACATAAGTTTCTGCATTTTATTTTGAATTAAAATGCATTAACAATATTGTATTTGTTTATATAGTTTTGTTTGTTTAGATTAATAATTCATGTCTTTTCTAGCTATATATTTTGGGGAATGTAAAGAAACTTGTTCACTTGTATCCTATCTAGCCCTATTTCGTTCATAGTGGAATTTGATTCTTATTCTTATTTTGTAGTACTGAGTACTGAAAAATCCACTTCCACTCCTTCCACCTGTTTCTGCTACTCTTATTCTTATTTAGTTCGCAGTGCACCTCTTGACTATTCTATTTGCAGATATTAAAAAAAAAAAAAACAAATCTTGTTTATTTGGCCATATTTTAGGGGTTTTGACAACTAAAACTTGCTCCATAAATAGAGGGCAGGTGAAGAAATAGGGATGCCAATTTTTTCCATGCCCGCTATGTATTCGGCCACCTCAACCACACTAGGTACGTAAGGGATGGAGATTGCCTTGGCAGGGGAAGGGGTGAGGACAGGGATTAATAGGGATCCCCAATCAGGGTCTGGATTGGGGATGGGGAGCAAAGTCCCGGCCCCACCCTAGCCCCAATTATTTATAAATTTAAAATCTTATTTATATTTTATTTTTTTATTTTAAGTAAATATTCTTTTCAAAAATTACTTTTAATTAAAAATTTTCAGTGATTAGGATCTCTATGGAGAACCCATTTCTATCAGGAATTGGGGATGGAAGATAACTTTTATCCCTAGTGGGAATCGATGTTGGGGATGGAAAATAGGAGTCTGGATCTCCTGCTCACACAAACTCTTCCCACGTCTACCCACATAACATCGCAGCCACATATAGAGAACATCTCATCCTTTTACATGATATTATGCAGGGGAGATGTTCCAAATTCATGAGGGTAATGTGTTGTGAATAGATGTGGGCAGAGTTCTCGTTGGGCAAGTAATCCAGAGTCAAAAAATAGGCCTACAAACCAGATTTCCTTTCCACTATCTCTACCCACACTCTACCCGCCTTGAAATGCAACCACACATCACCATCTTGTGTTGTGAGATGTGCAGCTGCGATGCATTATGGGTAGGGTGCAGATAAAGTGAGTAGGAAATCTGGGTTCTTAGGCCTACTATAAGTTATCATGGGTTAAATTTCTCCCGAAGAAATAAGGTAGCAAATTCCTAAGAAAAAATATACCATCTTCTTAATTATCAGCCAAAATTGAAAAAAAAAAAAAAAAAAGACAAATATGCCACCTTCTCAAGGCTAAAGTTATATTTGGATTTTCAGCTTACCTCATAAATCAAATAACCACCATGGAGACAATTAAACCACAAAATAGTCATCTGAATATGAAATCCCAAACTTTGGGTGTACTCTTTAACCTGAATGCTTTTTTGCTTGTAGTATATTTTAAGAAGCATCAAATCAACCTTAAAGATAAAAACGTATTCTTATTGGATATGCATACTTTCTCAAAATAAAATGACAAAAAAAAAATTCAGTTTGATTCAGGAAAACAAACTTGTTTTTAAAACTAATAAAAATATGCTTTTTTTTTTCAAGTTTTGCCATTCAAGCTCCTACTGATCGTACTAATCCACATTTAGATAGACTTAGTACCAAAGTATTAATATAAAGTAAAAGGAAGATGGTGAACTAATGTCTGTTCAAGCAAATCCTGCCTTCACCAGTGTTGGAAGGTGGGAGGGCCACCTTTATTTTGTATCCCATCTACCTAAAAAAAGTAAATATCAAGCCATCTGCCGACGTCGTGTTTCTGAAACCAACTAAAAATTCAATAACATGTTTCTGAAATCTTAGTTTTACTGTATAGTTGGGGTAGATGTCAAATCGGAATTAATGCCAATTTACGAGTGGATATAAGTATTATAGGTGGAGGTGTTTATAAATTTAAATTGTTATAGATTTGCAATTCAAATCAGATTTCTGAGTAGGTAGAGTACAGTCTAAAAATCCTAAAAGAAAATTAAGTACTTATTGAATGTGATTACAATGTTGTATCTACCTGATCCCTGATCCGGACTGAAATGTGTATAGGATTCGTATGGGTAAGAGATATTGATTGGGCCCAACACAAGCGACAACAAATGGGGTAATGGGCTTTTGTCTTCTCATGTTGTCTGGTCTGGCTGAAAACATTGGTTGCAGTTGCAGAAAAGACAAAATAAAGTGGGCTCATAGACAACAACAATTCATAATGATAGATACATATAATTAAGGAGATAATGGACTCCAAATTTACAAGCCCAACAATACTTACATAGAGTAGAAATAGCCAATAGGGTAGCAGATTAAGGTAAAGAAAGTGCAAGTCGATAGAATAATAATAAAATAAACATCAATAGTTTTAGTTTCCTTCAATTTTTTTCATCACTTGGATATGAATCCCCCAACTGCAGCAGCTATAATGGCCGTTGGATCACCTAGAATTGCAGAAGCTATAATGCGAACCGCACCGGCAGCGATCTGGCAACATTTCTGCACCTTCCCCACTTTTCCCCTGCTGTGGTGGTTCTGTAAGGTACCTCTGAGGCTAGGAATTCTGGTCTGCATCTCCCTAACTCTGTTCTTGTCGGCATTGAGATACATGGCCTGCCAGCTTTCCTTGAGCAATTCTTTGACACAGGAGACGTGAAGGTTGTAGTTCTTGCACTCGGATCTGTAAGACCAACCAGGACCTTTACCACCACAGCGATGACAGGAGCTGGAGAGCTTGAGAGAGAGGTAAAGGTTTCGCTCACCATCATCTAGGACTTGTGGGAGGTTGGCGCAACATGGGTGGAGATCGAAGCCACAGCCCTCGCAGTGGTAGACAAATCCCACAACGTCATTTCTACAAGCATCACATATCCTTGCGAGAGTCCCAGGGGGTCGGTGGTACAACCGAAACTCGCATTTCTTGTAGAAAGGATGCACCATCAACTGAGGTGCCTGGGCACAGGCCTTGTGCAGGTCGAACTCACACTGCTGGCATCTGTATTTAAGCCCAATCCCAGCTTCCTTGCACCCATCGCAGTTGAAAGGGATTTCTGTGTACTCCAGCTGGAGCTTGTGTTGGGGATGGGAGGGGTGTGGCATCTCTTTGTCAATCTTCATGGCTGTCTTCCTTGTATTCTGTTTGTTCTTTTCTCTTTTTGGGTGAGAACTGATCGACCACCTTCCTTCCTTCCTTTCTTCTTTCAATACAGCTAGCTATCAAGGATGATTATGGAATCCTATTGCTAATTTATAAATAGAGAAGAGAGGAGAGAAAAGGTTAGGTGGTTTTGAGTTTGGCTTTCAAGTTTGAATGGTTAATTATCCCAGTATTCTTCAGAGAGGGCATCTACTTTGCTTACATTTTACAAAGCAGAGAGAATAACGAAGGTGGATAAATTTGAAGGTTGAGTGAGGGATTAAGCCAGCATTCTGTGGAATCTAATGCTAAAATAAAGGTGGTGGGCTTGATCAGATTGTTAACATCCCTTGCTAGCTTGGTCCTAGCTATGGCTAAAACTCACATTAATTAATTGATGATCAACATGTTAATATCTGTTTATTGGGGTGGAAATTGCAATCACTAATACCCTTGGTATGTGAAACCTTTTGATATGTATGCAAGATGATATATACATTATAAGTATCAACTATCAACTGGCTGGTTGGCAAGGACCGGATTCAGTACTTACAAAATTTGTCTTCACACCGTCCTCACAACACTTACAGCCATGCATTTGAAATATCTTGTACTTGTATTTTAAGATGTTCCTCATGCAAAATTGCAAGTGTCGTGAGCATGGTGTGCAGACAAATTAACTTTGTGAGCACTGAATTTGAATTGGGTTATAGCGGCGATTTGGGATGAAATCCCCCCAACAGCTGAATTAGGGGGGTTATGGGTTGGGAATGGACTATCCCGATGTAAAGCCCTTTATAGTCAAAAAGAAAAGAAAAGAAAAGGACTAATGATGGTCAAATAGTGATCAAGGATAACTTTACAAACACTCTTTCATGCATGGAAATTGAACAGGCTATAAGATTCTTATAATGAAAGATTAAACAAAGAAAGGCCATGTAACAGAGTTATTAGTCCCTTTCTTTATATTTGGGACGAGGTTTGGAATATGATTAAGAGGGATTCATGGGAAAAATAAAAAGATTTTTGCATGGAATAGATATGGGGATAGGGATGGGAATGAGACTGGACCCCAATGATATTCATTTCTTTCTATTGTTTTATGTATTATATATTTATATTTATTTGCGATGGACCAATAATTCATTACTTTTTTTAGGTGTGTTTGGATTATATTCGGATCTTTGGGCGTAGCCCAAATCGACGGTGGGTAAAGCAAGTTGAAAATGGGTTATGTGGAAGGTTCCAGCTTCCAGTCAGCTATCAAAACAGAATCGAACTTCCCCATTTCGACAATTGCCAAACAAACAAAATTACCCTTTTTTGTATGTGGATCGCCCTCCTCATTACGATTAAATGTGATGAAGGAAGATTTGGTCCAACCTCGCAAATCATGCCACGTGGCAAAAAACAAAGTAGTTCGGCACTTAAAACAGCGTACTGAGGGTACAAACATCAACGGGAAGAGACCAGCGGTCCGAACTCCCCTCAAGGAGACCAACTCCTTAAGAGGAGCCCGAACTCGCTACTTAGAGCTCGAACTCCCTACGAGAAGCCCGAACTCTCCCGTTGGCCCCGAGCCACGCAAAGCAGTGACCCAAACTGGCCCGTCTCATGACAGTTCGGGACACCCCCCCTCCTATCCGAACTCAAGACTTCGCCTCACACACCGTTCCAAGCACTTCGCCTCCAGAGCACCGAACTGGACGAACCACACCGTACCTAACACCAAAGGAGTCTGTATCCAGGGGCGGCGCACCTGACTGACTTGGGATCTGACGCTTGACAGCCGCACTTCAACGGCCACCTGCCACCGTCACCTGCCACCGCCATCTCCAGTTACAGAGACGGCTCCAACAAAAGGAGCAGTGACGGTCCTGCCCCAACAGAG